CCCAATTTCACATTTGTGGTTTATTCACAATAAAAAAAAAAATTCGGAAGCTCATGAAGTGTTTAATACTCCTAATAATTATAATAATTATTTCCTACAATTTCACAACGTTTCAAATCGTTCTAAATCAACACTTTAATGGTTTGATTTTTTTTCTTTTATCTTATAAGTTTACTATTAAAAAAAACAAATAATATGAATGTTTAACTCGTATTTCTAGAATTGGATTTGAGAATTTGTATTTCTAATTTTTTTTTGTTCAGTATGGGCAACGAATCTAGATGTTATATTTCGATTTAATGTATAATTAAAAAAAAAAGTACAAAGCAAAAAAGAAACTGTAAACGATTTAAAGAAAACTTTTTTAGCATTTTTCTTTATTGACTTAAAGGAGTTCACATAACTATTATGTAAAACATGATAATCCAAGAAATTACATTATGAATAAACTATATAATGAAAATAATTTATTTAGGTGAAAATATTCGAAGATGAGAACTTGAAAATCACTCATCGCCCATCAATATTCACCTCCATTATATAGGTGTTGGTTTTCATAATATCAAAATTCACCTCTATTAGATTATCCGCATTGGAGATATTTTGTGGATGTCTCTAAATAAAAAGATATTAAAAACACACTTTCTCTTCCTTTTACTCAACTTTATACCTTCTCTTTCATTCTTTTACTCAACTTTTATTAATTTTATATTTAAACACACTCCAACTTTCATCCATTCTCTCTCCAACTTTGTCTTCCCCGAGACATCCTCTCTCCAATAATACCCACTATCTCATCTCTTTACTCAAATTTTATTAATTTTATATTTCAATACACCCCATTATTTCAACAAAAAACACTCTCTTTCTTCCTTTTATTCAACTTTTAATAATTTTATATTTAAAGACACCTACAAAAGTCTCCAATGCGGATGCTCTATATGTAGTTTTGATTTTGGCTTAACTCTAAAGGACCAACCAATATTAGCATGTCACGAGAAACTCGGAAATACAAATTATGGACGGTGAAGCTGGTAGACATAGCTAAACACTTATGCTCTAGGTTGCACTGAGACCGGTACGGGGACAAGAAATGGGGACGGGCACTGGGACGGAATACGGTAATACTAAAAATTTATGGATACGGGTACGGTAGGGATACGTCAATAG